CGAGTGCCAGCCGCCCTGGGCTGGAGCGAGGCCGGGCGGCGGCGGGTCGCCGGGTCCACGCCTGCTGCTCGCCCCCCGGCCGGGGATGGGGAGGCGGGGGAATGTGTCCGCCCTTCTGAGGGCATCGGTCTCGCCCAGGCAGCCCTGACGAGCCCCAGCCCTCTCGCAAACGTGCTTAAAACTTTCCATGCTTGGCGACTGCCCAGAAGTGAAATGTTTTGGAAAAAATGAGCAAAATCCTTTCAGCTAATGCAACTTAAGACATTTTAGAAACGTTGGCGAGTGGGGACCACGCAGGGAGAGGAAGCCAGGGTAGGGTGGCTTTCCTCTCCCCACATCGTTTTATTTCATGCACACCAGCTTTCCAATTTTTTTGAACGGCGATAATTTCATTGGTGCTTGTTGGCTTGAAGGCAAAATTGCAGATACTGTTTTTTTCTATTTTAAAAGCTGTTTCGTTGGTTTAAAATAGAAGCATCCGAATACCGTTTCTCAAAACCGGCTCAGCTCAGCATCACTTCGTCTCTACCCTTCCAGACGTGTGGGTCATGCAATACTCCCAGGGCCTGCCGCACACATTTCTCTCCAGAATAAAAAATGTCTTTTAAACTATTTCCTGAAACAAATGTGAGGCAAGAAGGGTGTAAGGTGCATCATTAATTCACCAGATTTAGTAATCCGATGACTCTTTAAATGTTGAACGAGATTAGTAACCAAAGAATCTGACTTACTCATGTGTTGTATTACACACAGGTTTGCCTTGTTAAAGTTGGGTTTTGTTTTTATTTTCTCTTTTTTTAGTCTGCTCTTTAAATGGAAAAAAAAAATGTGAGGAAAGTGACTTGTGGAAAAGAAAGAATTGCAAATTATTTGGGTGGCTTTTATTACTGCTTAACGTGAATGTGGTGGTTTGAAAGAAAATGGCCCCCAAAGGGAGGGGCACTACTGGGAGGTGTGGCCTTGTTGGAGGAAGTGCGTCACTGTGGGGGCGGGCTTTGAGATCTCTTTTGCTCAAGCTTCCCTCTGTGACAGTTGACTTCCTCTTGCCTCTGAGTCAGGATATAGCACTCTCAGCTCCAGCACGTCGGTCTGCATGCTGCCATGCTCCCTGTCATGATCATAATGGACTGAAACTCTGAAACTGTAAGCAAGCCACCCCAATTAAATGTTTTTATAAGAGTTGTTGTGGGTATGTCTTTTCACAACAATAAAAACCCAAACCAAGACAGAGGACTTGCCAAAGATATTATTAGTGACTCCAAATTATGATGTAATTAGGAGAAAACATCACATTTTTGGGAAAAGGTAGTAAAGATTACCCCTAATAATACCTAACTTTTTTCCCCACTGATTTATGGATGGCTTGCAAACCTTAGTGTTGTTCAGTTTCTTAGAAACAGCTTTTCTCAACTCATCCAGACTACTCACCAATCCAGTCAATATTTCCATAGGAGTTTTTCCTAGTTTCTCCCGTTTCTCAATGAAATCCCCTCTGATGGTTAAAGGTTTAAACACTTTCTAGTATACTTAACTATTAGGTGCTGGGAACCTGACTAAGTAAGTGGGTAGAGAGGCTAGCCACTCAAGTGTGAGGACCAGAGGGTCAGATCCCAGGCACTTACCTTAAAACTGGGCCTGGGAGTGTGTGTGTGTGTGTGTGTGTGTGTGTGTGTGTGTGTGTACCCCAAGCCCTGGAGCTGGGTGGGGGTGGATCCCTAGGACTCTGTGCTCGCCACTCCAGCTGAATTGGTGAGTTCCCGAACCTCTGACCTCCACACAGAGGCAAGCACACTGCATACACTGAACACATGCAACATACAACATTGGACCTCCACTCTGCCATGTGGGATGCAGCCCCACAGCCCTGGTGAGGTAATCAGCCATCGAGGGAGAAACTGGAACATGTGGCCTGTGCTTCTGCTCTAACCTGAAGAATGTTGCTATGCTCACCTCTGAGGGTCTGTGTCCTTCAAGGTCAGGAAAGGCTAATGCCTCAAGATGGTAACATAACTTCTCTGTAGATTTCCCATCTTCATCTCACAAACAGCGAGCTTACTGTTTGTTGTCCAAGAGGAGAAGAGAAAGTAATTCTCCATGGACCGGCAGATCTCAACCTGTGGCTCACAACCCCTGTGGTGGGGGTCTGATGCCCCTTTCACAAGGGTTACCTAAGACCATTGGAAAACACAGATATTCACATTACTATTCATAACAGTAGCAAAATTACAGTTATGAGGTAGCAGCCACGATCACTTTATGGTTGGAGACACCACAACCTGAGGAACCCTTAGGCATTAGGAAGGTTGAGAACCATTGCCTGAGATGAAAGATGAAAAGACCTGCCTAACATTCTTCCTGTTGGTCTGTTTGAAAGTCTAGTGGAAGTGTAGAAGGCTCAGAGCCTTTAGACAGCCTTCCGCTGCCACTTCCTGCTTGTACAGGCCTAGTGTGGCCTCGCTGGAACACCCTGCTGAGCATAACTGCTTTTTCCAGTGCTGAAGTTAGAGCTCCATTAAGTATTTAAATCTCTCATTTATAAAACGAGGGTAACAGTAGCATTTATAGGACTGTTGCAGGATTAACTGAGCAGCAAATGCAAGCACTTAGAGCAACGCCAGTAATACTCTTAGGTGTTATTGTCCTCTGGCCGTGAACTGTCGTGTCTAGTCAGTTCTTAGGTCCATTATTGAAAAGAAAAAAAAAAGGAAATTATTTTAAGCCATCTTGGAAAATACTATTTAAAGAATTAAAGCTAGCACCCCTGAGTGAGATCATTTATTACTTTTTAGAAAAAAGATTTCAAAGTATCTTAAAATTGTAAGGGAATGCTGCGAAGATTAATTTTTTTTTTTTTAAAGCTGGGCTTGGTTCCTGAAGTACCAGCTACTTACAAATAACCTAAAAAAAATTAAGAAAAAAAAAGACACTCTGGAGGGAGAGTGAATCTACATGTTATGTACAAATATCCTAGCATATAGTAATTACATTTTAAAATTTGCCATTTTAAGCCTTTTCATTAGCCTCCTCAAATATATCTTCCATATAAATGAAATTACACCTTTCTTAATTGTAATAGCACACAAAAATAATGGAATTTCATTAAATATAAGCAGCACATTAGAAAAGTCTAGCTGAAAACACCCTCTTTTTGAGGACCCCTGCTGGCTAGAAAGGGAGTTTAGGGGGGAACCTACGATTTCCTTCAGAGTACCGTGGTGAAGATTTCAGTTAGCTGAGTTTGTGAGTGGGATTGTTTGTGCTTGGGCCACACTGGAAACCATGGGAGCTCCAATGGACGTCAAGTTTCAAAGTGATTTTCTTATTTTTTTCTGTGGATGCATAGAAAATTTAAATCAAACACCCGCACTCAGAGATAAGACAGTCTTATTACTTGTGCATTAGCATCTGCCCGTGGCTTTTGTAAACAGTCCAAAAGTTAGTCAAGTGATTCCTGCTCAAGAAGAAAGTGTCCTCTGTGATAGACTGTAGTATTGTCCCCAAATATTTATGTCTCTCCCAAAGAGACACTTTATTACTTCTCTGTTTTGGATTTCAGACTTGGCCTTAATGAAACATGCAAGGACACGATATAACACGCCACCACTGTGCATTATTTGGTTCTGCAGTCTCTCTCCTCTTTTCAAGACTGGTTGGCATGTCCAGGGGAAGGATTCCTTCTTTATGTGGCCATCCCAAGCAGAGCCAATGCTTATGACTGACAAATACCACGAAGAGAAAGAAACCTTTTGTAACTGAGCTCTTAAAATAGCAATTTGAATGTGAAAAATGTGAGGCAAATATGGGGTGTTAAGCTCACTTTTAGTCCATTTGAAATAGTGTGACAAGAGAATTTTTGTGTCCGTGTTGAAAGCTGTCACAGCTCTCTAACAATTATTATAAATGGTAAGTTATTAAAGCAACTTGAGTTTAATTTTGTAATCAATGCTGGGTAATACAGCTCGTAAGCAAGGGCGCCACACTGTAAATATTTTTCAAGATGAAACTATGTTTCAATTGCAGATTGTATAAAAGATACAACAATGGCCTGTATTTAACTGAAAACTTTGTAGAGAAAACTATTAATGGCTAGCTCCAACATAAAAAACAGTTCTTTCATCAATAAAACATGAGTTTAAAACCCTTTCTTTAAAGATTGAAGATGTAATTTGTCTTTGTAATATTCCGG